AAAAAAAAAAAAAAAAAAAGGCATCTCTACTCCGTCTGCAAACAGTAACTCAAATATGTTTCCTTAAATGATTGCTGATGTCATAAAGTGTATGCTATAGAATAGATTGTATTTAAGCGTTGAGTTGACCAGAGGGGAATGTGTATGATGGGAATTTGTGTGCAACTGTCAATATTTACATATTTGTAAGTAAGCTGTTTATTGGGTGCATGTCAGATGTGTAAACTTGTCAAAGGCTGGTTTACTGTTCCAGTCATGGATCGTGCTGGACTCGTACACAATTCGGTAGGAATGTAACGAATCACTCAACTCACAATGAGATACGATTCACAATACTGTTTCACGATATGATTTTATCATGATTTTTTGAACAAAATCAAAATTTAAGACAAATTATAAATGAAAATGCTGTCAAAATGCTGCACGTTTCTTTGTGAAATTGAAATATATTTTATGTCAAATAACAAAAATTTCAAAACAAATCCTAAATCAAATAAATATATAAATGAATAGTACAAATAAAAGAAATGTTTTCATATAAACATAGGCTTTGCCTATGCTCTTTCCAAGCTTGGATTTATTTATTTATTTATTTTAGAAATGTCAGCATGTCCACATTTTACATCAGAAAATGGACCTAGTATAGAAAAAGCATTTAAAGCAAAAACAGAATGGTTCAACTTAGGGTTGTGTCGGTGAGGAAATTTTCCCACTGGTTAATCGGCGTGTGACAACACCGGTAATACCGGTATCACCGTGGGGGCGGGGCGTTCCCTCTTTTCCTCGCTTTCCTTCGCTTTTAAAGCTTGTAAAAGTGGTGTGCCCATTTTACTTTAACTTTAAAATAGCGGCAATTCGAAGTAAAGCAATTGTTCGTTTTTAGTTCGTTTGAATTGTCCCTCTTTTCCTCGCTTTCCTTCGCTTTTAAATAGCTTAAAAGCGCCGTGCTCATTTTACTTTCCCAACTTTAGCTTTGTGAAATTATGCTACATAAAAGCACACAGGCTGAATGAGATGCAGATTCACTCTCTGCCAGCAGGTGGCGCTTATGGAACAGCAGAGATACAGCGTTTCTTTGGTTACCGCTGTAAACAAAGCAGCGCTGCGCTTATAAGAACTACTTTAATATGCATTATACAGAGACAAGATGAAAGAAAATACCATCGAAACTCTACTGAAAACAGTCAGTTCTCCTCAGAGATACATTCATATAAACCCACACCCAACGGTATCGCGATTCGTTTAACATCTCAACCGACTTGAATCGTCACATTTTCATCGATTTTCAACCGGCTCGGTGTGCATCATTGCATCCCTACAATTCAGACAGGATTTGCTTTTAGTAAAACAGTGGATCATTTGCTTTGGTATTTTGACATTTTTGGAATTCAACTCACTTTTTTTTCACAGACCTTTCGACCAATCAGCAGCGGCTATAGCCCCACTCCCAAGAGTCCATCCCCCAAGAGTCCCATCACAGCCACTGTGCCCTACAATAACGGCAACTCCAGACCTACGTACAACAATCCAGCAGGCCTGTATTCACACAATAACGGAAATGGTGCCCTACCGAAGCAGATGGCAGGCCTCAGCCTGGGCTCCCCTCACAGGTGAGCTATTTCACAGCTTTTCACACATGCACAGGAATAAAGCATTTTTCTTTGGAATAACAATTAGACAAAGCACGCTAGGTACATTAGGTCAGTTCTGTACACCGCTAACTTCTAGCCAGCACAAACCAAACTGCTCTTGCAATGGCCAGAAACTGATATTTATGATCCTCACAAGGCTGTGATTTATCAAGGAAGCAATTTTGAGCATCTTTCCCATGTTGGAAATCTACAGCACAGGTCCTGTCTTCACTCAGAGCACTACACAACAATAAACACTTCAGACTGAAAGATATTACAGCTCTTCGTGCCTATTGTTATGAAAAAATGAGTTCATGTTAGAACTGGATCGTGAGTGAAGAGTCTTCAGGGAACATCTGCTGCACTGATATTTGCAAAACACCCTTGAGTTTTCTAAAATTCGTCAGATCTGTTGATAATAGATTAATTGATAATTGATTGTGCTGTTATTTTCTAATTATGAAGCATGTCATTTCTGGGAGTAACATCAGGGAAATTACTTTTAAAGGAATATTTCAAAAGTCCTAACAGGTGGAAAGTGATACCAGAAATATTTCCTCATGCCAGAAATAACTCCTCGAACCCCGAAAGTAGTAAAACTATTTGTAAGTCACTTCTATTTTCACATAATTGTGATATTGTGATAAAAAAGCAATAAATATGATTTACAACTTTAACAATTGCAAGTTTAGTACAGTATGCAGCTTTACTGTGTTTAAACGTTTGACTGGTAGATTTTTAACTAATGTGTTGAGAATTTTTAAACCAATTACATTGGCTTCCATTCCTTCAGCTTTTATAAATAGCTTGATACACTGAGAAAGTGTTTGAAAACATATGGCAATAGCAGATGTTTCTGGAAGAGAAAGAGATCTGGATGTGTTTTCCTCTCAGTTTCAGCCCTGAACTGCCAGTGAATTCATCAGGCAACCCCAACGGTTTTGACACGCAGTCAGACGTCTACAGGATGCTTCAGGACTATGAGGAACCTGTGTCAGCTCCCAAACAATCTGGCTCCTTTAAATACCTGCAGGGTGTTAGTTAAGGGTGATAGAGAAGCATTTGGTTGCTTGCAAATCCCAGTTTACTCTGAAGATGACAAATCCACTGTTTATGAATTCCTCCTGTACTTAAGGTAGAAGTTGTCATAACACTGATCACTCTCATGGAAACTTCCAACAGGAAAATCCTGCTGTGTACTTGGGAAAAAAACCTCAGTACCTTCAAAGGTCTTAATGCATACTCATTCTTTATTATTAGGGTAATTCTTGTTAAAGTTAATTGTTGCGTTGATTGTAACTTTTAGCTATTGTTATTTATTGATTTCTGCAATTGTATCAGTTCATTAAAGGGGTCATATGATGCTGCTAAAAAGAACATTATTTTGTGTATTTGGTGTAATGAAATGTGTTTATGCGGTTTAAAGTTAAAAAAACACATTATTTTCCACATACTGTACATTATTGTTTCTCCTCTATGCCCCGCCTTTTTGAAACGCGTCGATTTTTACAAAACAACACTCTAAAGAGAAAGGAAAAAATGAAATCGCATCATATGACCCCTTTAAGACAAACTAAAATTCGTCAGATCTGTTGATAATAGATTAATTGATAATTGATTGTGCTGTTATTTTCTAATTATGAAGCATGTCATTTCTGGGAGTAACATCAGGGAAATTACTTTTAAAGGAATATTTCAAAAGTCCTAACAGGTGGAAAGTGATACCAGAAATATTTCCTCATGCCAGAAATAACTCCTCGAACCCCGAAAGTAGTAAAACTATTTGTAAGTCACTTCTATTTTCACATAATTGTGATATTGTGATAAAAAAGCAATAAATATGATTTACAACTTTAACAATTGCAAGTTTAGTACAGTATGCAGCTTTACTGTGTTTAAACGTTTGACTGGTAGATTTTTAACTAATGTGTTGAGAATTTTTAAACCAATTACATTGGCTTCCATTCCTTCAGCTTTTATAAATAGCTTGATACACTGAGAAAGTGTTTGAAAACATATGGCAATAGCAGATGTTTCTGGAAGAGAAAGAGATCTGGATGTGTTTTCCTCTCAGTTTCAGCCCTGAACTGCCAGTGAATTCATCAGGCAACCCCAACGGTTTTGACACGCAGTCAGACGTCTACAGGATGCTTCAGGACTATGAGGAACCTGTGTCAGCTCCCAAACAATCTGGCTCCTTTAAATACCTGCAGGGAATCCTGGAAGCTGAGGATGGGGGTCAGTTTTACTTTGATTTATTTCTCTCTCAAAATGTTGAAATTGTTATTTACTGGTAATGTCCTATATAGTCTTTTTCTGAGAATGTGATTTTAAAAATGGATATATCATATTTTTTTCTGTAGTTTTATCAGTTGTACCTTTAAGTCTAAATAACTTGCATTTTTCTACTCATGTGAAATAAATTAATATTTGCACTTCCAAATATTCAAACATTAATAAACATTCTGCTAGAAAGAATGTCATGCAGGTTTAGAATAGCATGAGGGTAAATAGTGACAGAGTTATTTATTCATTATTTAATTCCTTTGAAGAATTTGGGTTTCTGATATTAGAATTTTTTGTTTCCAAGTTTTTGCAGCTTATTTGGATTTTTTTTTTGTTTTTTTTTTTTGGGACTGATCATAGTAAACTGAAACCTTTTAATTCAAAAGTCCAAACATCTCTCTAAAGTATGGGCCGTTCATGAGTGAAATCTCAGATTGACTGAATGGTGAGTTATCTGCATGCTTGCAATGTTAAGCACTGTATATCTGCTTTTAATTGTAAATAGTCTTTGCAATTTGTCCATCCATATCGAGAGTGAAAATGTTGTCCAATGTGGCACACAGTTTTACTAACAGTTTGCACCAGCGCAAGACCGTTTTTGGGGTTAAAATCTGCTGTCAGGATTTTACTAAAGACATTAGCGAAAAAGCATGGACTGAAGTTTTTTGCAGCTGACCTTGTAAATATGCATTTGTAGGAGTTTCCCTTTGAGACACAACATTTATGGGAGGAGAGGATTTAAATGCATGCAATCTTGATTTACAGTAGTCAGTTTTTGCACCATTATTTAACACCTCAAAAAAGCTTTGTCTTTACCCATTTTGTGCCTGTGTTGTTAGTAGATTACCTGCACCTGATTGTCATTGGCTCTGCTTGTTTGTGCTGCTCTTGATAGATTGCATTGGTTATTATGGAAATGACCTGGCTGCATCTGTGTTAATTTGAGCATTGTCAGTAAATCGACTGCAAAACTTTCCACTCCCATCTGTTTTAATGTGATTGCGGTCTCATGCTACTTTATTCTGTTTAGTATACCTTAATGTTTAATATGCATTTATGTGGAGCAGGATTTTGGAACATTGAGATTGAACAGTGGTCAACGCTGCAGAAACAGAAATATATATTATATATAACAATCTAGTAAAATTGTTTATTTTTGCAAGTTTTATTTATCTGATACATAAACGCTAAGGGGCTGTTCACACAGAACGTGTCTTGCCGTCTAAAAACGTGATGCGGAATGGTTTTTTAAAAAAGCACAGCACAGAATGCCTCCTCCGCCATGTTGGCATTAAATAAAACAGTTGCCATGCCAACTTGCTACTGTAAACAAAAGCTTGCAATGCTTGTCCCGCCTCCAGGGTCTTCTGATTGGTCCATTGTTTTGGAACTGACATTGATTGGCGCTGCATATAAAAAGTTTAAATTCATTTAACTTGATACAGTGTCTTAAAAATGTTGGAAAAGATGTGAAATGCAAGCGCAGCGGTCATACACGTCAGTCTACCACGTTTACATAGAAAAATAATGGAAGAGTAGCGCATTGGAATGGAAAAACGCATTCTGTGTGAACGGCCCCTATAGATTCCACTTAGGGTGAGAGCAGTAAATTAGGTAAAACAGATACTGTATTTACACAATAATTAATGAAATTAGAGAAATGTATGCAAGTCTATGCAGCGAATTTACATGAATCTACATTAAATTTTCACATCAGTATGTGCAAAGGGAACAATAACAACTGTGATGCAGCGTTTTATCACAATGCTTTGCTATTTGCTTGTTATATGCTACACTATTTTGAAATTGTCATGCTACTTAAAAATGTATTCAGTAAATGCACTGGATTTTTTGGGGGGCCAGATCACTCTGTAGTCTCTTGCAGGCTAAAAAGCCCACAAAATCCTATTCTTTATGTCATATAAGCCCAGAAATGTGTTTTATCTAAGCCTGATCCCGTAGAGAGGCTCCTAGACTGCGCTATACTTACACTTTGCACTCTCTCGCACACTGAATTAAAGCCCCGTGGAGCCACAGGGCTCAGAGATCAAGTGTTTAAGTGTGTAATTAGTGGTATTAGTTGACGGGTTTGGAGTTGTAACCTGTCCCAGCAGTCGTTGGGAATAACACAGAGTTAATGATCTCACTTTGGCACAGCAACAGTCAGATGACGGAGGCGGGCACCATTGTAACATTTATCCATCAGATTTTTCTCGGATGTTTCCTGATCCAGCAGCAGGGTGGTTTTCTCCACTGAGCTCATGCTACGCCGGCCCTGGTTTTAGACTCGGCTTGAAATGGAGAAGATAGGAGGAGGCCTTGGCAGCTGTGCTCCATACTTGGCCCAAGCCGTGCCCTGAAGCTAACACACACCCTCGATTTTCAGCTACGCCTGCATGGAGAATAGCATCTGACCTGGGACTGAAGTGTGAAGGACATTCATTTCCAGCCATCTCTTGTTCCAGGGACAGCTGCTGAGTGCACATTTTGAGTTATTTCTCACTTTTTAAAGCAATAGTTCACCCAGAAAAGAGAATTGTTCAAGAATGTTATCTGAAGAGCGAATTTGTATGTGAATTAATGGAACAGCATAATTGGAGACAGTGTTGGGGAAAGTTACTTTTAAAAGTATTGCCTTACAATATTGCAATACTTACTTTCTTTTCATGGGAAGTAATTATTATGTTATATTTGCATGACTTTTTCTCGTCTGGCCTGGGCTTGCTTGTTTGTATTTAATATAAAAAAGTTCTATTTTTGGCAAATGTAAAAAACCCTTTCACACCAAAAGTGAAATGAATAAGCCACAGGCTGAAGGAATTGAATACATAAAGGATTTTTTGTGTTAACATTTAATTACTGCAGGTTTGTTTCATATTCTGAGTTTGCATCTCACTGTTTTTATTCATTTTGAAGAATACTGAATCGTTTTTTTTGTGCGAGTGAGATGAGTAAATGCATGTTCACATTTAGTCTAGAACTACAGTAACATGTTCACACAGCGCACACAACGCTCTGCACTTCTGATTTCTCTCAACATGGGACATGACAGCTGTCAGTCAATACATGGGGAAACAAAGTAATGACAGTACATATCTGAAAAAGTAACTTAGATATGTTCTTGTAAGTTAAAAAGTAACGCATTACTTTACTAGTTACTTGGAAAAAGTAATCTGATTACGTAACTCATGTTACTTGTAATGCTGTACCCCAGCACTGTAATTTAATACACACAGTGGAGAGACAAAGTTAGTGGAGACATTTAGGAGAAAGGAAGAGCAACAATTAACTTAGATAGTCCAGTAATGCACCTTATTTTGCAATTTTCTTTGAATGTGTCAGACTAACAAATCATTATCTGCTATAGGTAAATAATTACAGAGAGCAGTAAATGTTTGCACTACGAACCACTGCGTTTATGATTATGATAATGAATTAAAATAATATGAACAGATATCATGTCAAACAGGAAAACGAACTATTTTTGGACAGATAAAATAACTGAAAGCGAATCGCACCGGAATATTTTTACTGTTCATTTTATATGAATTACACTGTATTTCTACATGGTCTAAATTTCTGCATCAAAATTTCCCACCGGCTTTTTAACAAATCACACAACCTCCACTGCTCTGTCATTGAAGAAACATAACAGTCAACTTGTGACCTGATAACCAATTGCATTACAGCCTTGACTTCACTGAATTGCTCTCAGAGTTTTCCGACAGACAACCACTGTTTGCTGCCACCAAAGAAATGAGAAGTGTCATACAGTGAAACCAACCTGTTGCAAAATTGTCCGTGACTTCTCATACAGTATAAAACAGCTTTTTTCTTTTTTCATTGTAAACTCAAAAACAGATTGTTTAATGGCAAACATGTTGAAGATTAGTCAGCAGACTAAGAGTTGATTCATTAAGCTGGTTCCACCACTGACATCCATTCAAAACAACCGTTAAAATACCCATGACTACTTAGTCAAATTACAGCCCATAAGATCCGCCCATAGGTGTTGATTGACATGCCTGCCATAGCATGTCATTTGTATTTGCTTTGTTGTTTGTATCATCAGTGCTTCATCAGCTGAGCGTTTAGTTAAATTAAATCATGACAGTGTTTTACTGAGTTAATTATGAAAATGAAATATTAATCACAGTTCTGTCATGACAACTCTCGGAGGGATTGGCATGGTAATATACATGACAATGTTAATGTATTTGGTCTTGGCGGAAAAGATCTGCTATGCTGCTGCTGCTGCAAGTACCGAGACTTGCTACTGCCAATACATCCACAACATGCTGCTGTGAGCATGTAAGAAATACTGCTGCTGCACACATAACATAC